AGACCAGCGTGGCACTGGAAATAAGGTGAGTTTTAATTTCTTTTAAGGGGGCTAAGTGGGGGGTGGAGGGGGCAAGCCACCTAAATGGTGGGTTTAGCACTATAGGGTCACGAATACATGTTTGTGTTCCTGACCCTATAGTGTTCCTTTAAAAAATATTTATTTGAAACAGAGCATATTTGTTTTTTATTTGTGGAATTGATTTCATTCACATACTTTGATATAGGGATCGATCGATTAGTGGTCTAGCCAATATTATCGGCTGATATTCTGTATTTTCAGCAATATCTGTATCGGCCAATAAAGATACCGATATTGCCGATCATGCAGACCAGGGCTGCCATCAGGGTCCTGGGGGGCCCAGCACATTCTTACTTGCCTTCCCAGCAGCTCCCTGTCTAGCTCGCCCAAGTCCCGCAGCCGTCAGAGCGTGGCACGCAGGCCGCGAGAGCTAGACTGGGGAGCTGCTGGGAAGAGAAGCAAGAGTGTTGCTGGGCCCTATTTGCACAGTCCATGCCACCGGACCACCAGGGAATGCCATATCCACCCTCCCTGGCAAGGTAAGAAGAAGGGAGGGGGGACTAAAACTGTAAAAAAGTTACAAAAATTAAAATGCCCCCATTTTACACACGTTACATGCCTAAACAAACACTCACTACACACACACTGCATTTACTACACACACTGCATTCGTTATATATACACACACACTCTGCATTCATTATATGCACACTACACAAACACACACTGCATTCACTATACACACTAAACAAACACACACACACACACTGCATTCACTAATCAAATACTCTCACTCTCAGCGGTACATCATCTGTCTTTTTCTTCCACATTCGGATTAAAATACCAATACTTACCTACGTATCCTATAAGCGGGGATTGTACTGCTGTATGCCATCCACACTAGAGCTAGTTCAGCTCTACTACACGTGAGTAGGATTACCATAGATCTCTTCTTCCTGCAATTCAACCCTTTTATCAAACGTATTTGCACTATTATCTTTTTCTCTCTTTACATACGGATCCCAGAAAGCTGTCTTCACTTGATCCATAAAGAGAATATTCCTCCACATAGGCCGTCGGTGCCCCACCAGGCCCAACTAAAGACTTTGGTTTGGCACCACTTACTCTTTGGACTTTGTTCATTTTAGCTGTACTGTAGTCAGCTTTGGCGCAACCTTCTTCTGTCTTGTCTTGTGTATTACTTTTGTCTATAGGGTCTAGAGGGAACCCTATTTTTAGGTTGCTGCCTTCTACTTTACCTATTTATAGTATTGGTTTATTTTAGAGCTGTTTCCTTCTTTTGTATATATTCTTGAAAACCTAAACATTCTGACTGGCATGTATATTTTGTGCATTTACCTTAATTAAAAAAAAAAAAGAATTGCAAAAAAATAAATAAACATGTTCAGTTAACAGTAAACTTGTGTAGAAATAGTTTATTTTTTCAAAATGGTAAATGTACAGAATATTGGTAAGTTATCGGCCTGAAAGTTCACAGATTATCGGTATCGGCTCTAAAAAAATCAATATCGGTCGATCCCTACTTTGATCTAGATTAACAATGCACCTACAATTGATAAACTAAAATGGTGCATTTAGCTAATCTTCCATGTTAAAATTCATGTAGAACCCATCTTTTTTGTAGTACTGTGATGTAGTGGTTGGCTTAACCTGATCTGGCCAAATGGTGGAACTGAAATCCCATATGCGTTTGCTAAGATAGATGATTTTAAGTAGCCATGTAAGATTGAAACAGCTTTTTGAAAACTGTCAAGGCCTCGAATGTATCTTGAATCTCACAATGCTTAAAGGGACTCTGTAGACACATTTCATCTCAATGTAATGGTCTGGGTCCCATGGCCCTGTCTAGCCCTTTAATTTAAAGCATTGTGTTCTGCAGGTAGGTTTACACTAGAGGCTCAAAATTCCTTCAGTGGCTGTCGATCTTAAACTCCATCAATTTTGATTCCATTCTCACAGAGACCATTTGATTGGCGCAATATGGTCTTTTGCCAAGCATGCACAGTAGCCTCTCAATGCTTTCCTATGGGATTGCATTGGATTGGCTGATATCATCAAGATTGATGATCTCAGCTAAGGAGATGGGGCTGGCCATGGTGAAGGAGAAACAGTAAGCAAATCAACTTCCTTGTTTTCCGTTCCCTGTAAAAATTATACTCCGGTGAGTAGAAATTCACCCTTGGAGTGTATGCAATGGCGAGTAACTTTTATTTTATGGCCTGGATAGTTGCATACGACAGAAAAACTTAATGCCCTGACTATACAGCGAGTTAGATATGCATGTTTGTTTCCTTTTGAAGATTTTTTTTTTTTTTTTTGTAAGGGGTTGAGGGTTTCCCTTACATTAAGTGTTTGCAGCCGAAACTTTTACATTTAAGTTGATATTTTTAGCGCTTATCCTATATTGTCTATTAGAATATCTTGTGACCGATTTCCTTTTTCCATGGATTGATCATTTCTTCTCCCTCAGATATTCAGTCTGGACTTGGGTGGGATTTCCGCAGTTGTCATAAATGGATACGATGCTATGAAGGAGTGCTTGGTGCGCCAGAGTGATGTATTTGCTGATCGCCCGTCTCTTCCTTTGTTTCACAAGTTGACTAAAATGGGAGGTAGGTTTTTTTTTGAACCTGTTAAATGACCGTTTTATGTCTTAGTTAGTAGAATCACTGTAAAATGTAATTTTGGAACGGTGTTAATGTTGAATCTTCTTAATTTCTTCTTGTCTTCAGTTGATTGCTATATATATATATATATATATATACTCTTTTGTATATATATTCTTGGGCCAAATGCTCGCCACAATAATATACGTCTATACTATTGAAAAGTAGTAATACGCAATCTGACTTACGGTTTCTTCAGGTTTATTCTTTGTTACGGATACATAATAAAACATAATAAAGGATGTTACAGGATTATGGGCATTCAACAGCAGATGGTAATTGCTGTACTTCTGATGGGAGAGTTACATCGTTGTACAGAGCCAAGCCAAGACTAAGACTGAGAGACCTCGTGTCCCTCTGTTACTATATAGAAGTGCTAATACTAACGTCAGCATATAACTCTAGCCATATAAGGACAAAACCCCCGAATCCACATTCCAGAGCTCTCGGACAAAGAAAGCCTTGTGACTTATTGATACCATCTGTTACTTATGTCAATCCACACATCCATATATATAATCAATAGAAACATAGAATATGCAATATTCTACAATCACCAACTAGAATGGATGTGTGTCTGGATCTGGTAAAAACAAATAATGCAGATGTTTGTCAGACTTTGAAGTAAGGGAATCCTTGAGGGGAAATTATAAAAATAATAAGATGTCCTTTGTAATAAGAAAAAAGCAAAATCATGGGGGTTCACTAAAGCATATACGCAAAGACCATTCCTGATCAAACTTCTTCAGGCTGTTGAATGGTCAACTTGGCATCCCGATGAAGCTGCTAGATGCTGATCCAGGCCCTTGCTGGACATCTTCAAGTCTCTCAAAGAAGAAACTCTTTAACTTAGAAACATAGAATGTGACAGCAGATAAGAACCATTCGGCCCATCTAGTCTGCCCAATTTTCTAAATACTTTCATTAGTCCCTGGCCTTATCTTATAGTTAGGATAGCCTTATGCCAATCCCACGCATGCTTAAACTCCTTTACTGTGTTAACCTCTACCACTTCAGCTGGAAGGCTATTCCATGCATCCACTACCCTCTCAGTAAAGTAATACTTCCTGATATTATTTTTAAACCTTTGTCCCTCTAATTTAAGACTATGTCCTCTTGTTGTGATAGTTTTTCTTCTTTTAAATATAGTCTCCTCCTTTACTGTGTTGATTCCCTTTATGTATTTAAATGTTTCTATCATATCCCCCCTGTCTCGTCTTTCCTCCAAGCTATACATGTTAAGTTCCTTTAACCTTTCCTGGTAAGTTTTATCCTGCAATCCATGAACCAGTTTAGTAGCCCTTCTCTGAACTCTCTCTAAAGTATCAATATCCTTCTGAAGATACGGTCTCCAGTACTGTGTACAATACTCCAAGTGAGGTCTAACCAGTGTTCTGTACAATGGCATGAGCACTTCCCTCTTTCTACTGCTAATACCTCTCCCTATACAACCAAGCATTCTGCTAGCATTTCCTGCTGCTCTATTACATTGTCTGCCTACCTTTAAGTCATCAGAAATGATCACCCCTAAATCCCTTTCCTCATATGTTGAGGTTAGGACTCTATCAAATATTCTATACTCTGCCCTTGGGTTTTTACGTCCAAGATGCATTATCTTACACTTATCCACATTAAATGTCAGTTGCCACAATTCTGACCATTTTTCTAGTTTACCTAAATCATTTGCCATTTAGCTTATCCCTCCTGGAACATCAACCCTGTTACATATCTTTGTATCATCAGCAAAAAGACATACCTTACCATCAAGACCTTCTGCAATATTACTAATAAAAATATTAAAGAGAATGGGTCCAAGTACAGATCCCTGAGGTACCCCACTGGTGACAAGTCCAAGCTTCGAATATATTCCATTAACTACAACCCTCTGTTGCCTGTCACTCAGCCACTGCCTTACCCATTCAACAATATTGGAATCCAAACTTAAAGATTGCAGTTTATTGATAAGCCTTCTATGTGCAACAGTGTCAAAAGCCTTACTGAAATCTAGGTAAGCAATGTCTACTGCACCACTTCTCATTAGATTTTGAAAGTGTTGTTTTTTTTGTTTTGTTTTTTTGACCATGACCTCTCTTGATTTTTCAAATTTCATTACAATAGGTAAAATACCACATCCTGAGTACAGTATCCAGTTTAGTTGCTGATTTATGTTTGAGAGTGGCCTTGCATAGATACTGCATACAAAATTCCTGTATTTTCTGTATGTATTCTAATAAAGAGACTGAGGGAAAAAAAAAAAAATAAGAATTATTTATATATATATAAATAAATAAATATATGCGAGTGCGCTTGATTGTGTGTGTGTGTGTGTGTGTGTATATATATATATACACATACACACACAATCAAGCGCACTCGCATATTCACTAAACTATAATTTCAAATCTCACAGATTGTAATAGTTTTATTTAAAAACCACCCCACCTAGGCAAAATGTCTACAACGGCCCACCTGCCACGACGTCAATGTACCCCCATTTTAAGGACAGTCATTAGGCTGCTAGAGTAGAAAAAATAAAATGACTGCCGAGAATGGGGTACACTGACTCTGTGGCAGGCTTATACAATATATGTTCATATAATGTAACTAAACCCCCATTATGTTTTGCCTAGGTGTGGGGGGGGGTTTAATAAAACTCTTGCAATCTGTGAGATTTGAAATCATTGTTTAGTGAATAAGCGAGTGCGCTGGATTGTGTGTTGTATCTTTTGACCCCAGCAGCACCCTATAATGTATGCATGGTCAGGTGAGTCCAATATATAATTAGTCAAAACTCAAAAATGAAAAGCTGACAAAAACAAATCTTCCCCCATAATATAAATATATTATTATTTACATATTTTTTATTTATTTTTTTATTCTTATTTTTTATTTTTTTTCAGTAAATAGAAAAACCTATAGCAGTAGATTTGGAAATCACTGCCACAAAAAACAACAAACATGGTTGGTTGGTTAACACAGGTTAAAGTATTGCAGCAATTGGGGAGGGGGAAGGAGTTAATTATAAACAAAGCTCCATGGCTAGAATGTATTCACCTAAAAGTGCTTAGGTTGCTTAGTGTGGAAATATCCATACCACTGTTTTTACATTTTCAGCATTTTTTTTCTTACAGGAGTTTTACCAGAGGAAAAGAGAAAAGCAGATATGGTTCCTATATTAATAAAAAAAAAAAAAAAAAAGTTCTAAATCTTAACCTGGAAGCTACAGACCTGTAGTCGGGAAATTATTTTAAGGGTTGTTAAGGTATATTCATTTTGAACACAAATCAACAGGGTTTTATGAAAGATTGAACATGTCAAACTAACTTAATTGCATCCTTTTAAGAAGTTCTGGGTCTGTAACCATTTTACAGGAGACATTGTAAGTCTTATGTCATTCAGTATTTGCAGTCAATGTAAAACTGGGTAAGGTAATACAATGTGAGTTGGACAGCGACTAGACAACCGTGAGTTAAATACAGTTATACATTTTGGGATGAGTAGAAACCTAAAACCTAAATGGTACGGAGTTACAGAAAATGATAAAAATTTGGGAATCGTTTTAGCATACTAAGCAACAACGTACAATGGCACATGGCATTTACTAAGGCATTTTAAAGATACAGTCCAAGCATAACATCTCTATCTTAAAGGGTTTAACAATATATGAACATTTTAACCCCAAACTTGCCAAAATCTTGCCCCTCCTCTGTCACCTGGTCTATGGAAATGTCTGAGGCTTTAATGAGCAACCAAGGAGATGAGGAGGGCTGGGCGTCAGACAAGGCATATGTTAATCAGTTTAGTGAATGGAATGCTAATGAAATGTCAGTAATGGAGGTTTAATGGGTCATACCATTCCTACAGTCAGGGAGGGGGAGGAGTGAATGGGCTCTATTATTTTACTGTCTGCATTACATTAGCAGTCCAGAGACTAATTAAATATCGGTATACAGCTGGGGGGCTAACACCTTCTTTAGGTTCCTTCTGGTGCAGGATTGCCCCCCCCCCCAGCCTATACCAGGGGAGGTACACCAAGGCACAGTTTTCCTAAACACACTGTGAGTGTATTTCAAAGAAGCCCAGATACATTATATCCAACTGTATAACACTATGTTTGGCTTAATGTTTTCTTTTGTAGATGTCTAGCTGACTCGCAAATATCGTTTTGTTTGCATTCTTTTTACTTTGCATTTTCAGTAAGCTCAACTGTACCTTGTATGCCTTCCGGCTCTTCCTATAAGCAAGTTATTTGACCATTTTATCTAGCAATATTGAAAGGAACACTATAGGATCAGGAACACAAACATTGTCAATTCTGATCTCGGCCAAGGAGGTGGGTTAGGAGCATAGGCGTGCGCAGCCTATTGCATTAAGGTGTGCACCCTCAAGCACAAACACACGCCACGTGTGTGTGTGTATATGTATATGTGTGTGTGTGTATATATATATATACACTGCTGTTTGTGTGATGTGGGTTAGGTTGCTGGTAGTGTGCTGTATATGAGGGTGCGGTTTGTGTGTTAGGGTCCTGTTGGTGTGCTGTGTGTTAGGGTCCTGTTGGTGTGCTGTGTGTTAGGGTCCTGTTGGTGTGCTGTGTGTTAGGGTCCTGTTAGTGTGCTGTGTGTGTGAGGGTGCTGTTAGTGTGCTGTGTGTGTGAGGGTGCTGTTTGTGTGATGTGTGTGCTGTGTGTGTGAGGATGCTGTTTGTGTCGTGTAGTTGTGAGGGTGCTGTGTGTGTTTTTGAGTGTGCTGTTTGTGTGAGGGTGCTGTTTGTGTGCTGTGTGTGCGTGCTGTTTGTGTTAGGGTGCTGTATGTTTGGAGGGATTGTGAAGGTGGGGGCAGATTAGTATATATACACACACACACACACACACTTACAGACAGACACACACATACATTCACAGACACTCACTTACATACACACACATACACACACACAAATTATTATTTTTTTAATTACAAATTGTCCACCCGGCCTCCCTACCTGGGGTCCAGTGGGTCGGGCGCCCATATCCATATCACAAGCGGCGAGGGAGCTGTGTCCTCTCTGCTCTCTCTCGCCGCGTGGGCTGTCTGCTGTAGCTGGGAGCTGGAATATGACGTCCTATTCCGGCTCCCAGCATCAGCAAACAGCGCGCGGCGAGAGGGAGCAGAGAGGACACTGCTCCCTCGCCGCTTGTGATATGAAGATGGGAGCCCGACGGGGGAGGGAGTGTCCATCACCTCTTGCCTCCCCCCCATAACAAGGGAAACACGGGGGGGGGGAGAGAGGGGAGGAGGAGGGCATTTGGGGGTGGCAGAGTGCCTGCAGGAACAGCGGGAACTGTGTTCCTGCAGGACTCACAGTCGTCCTGTGGGGATTAGGGTGTGCCCCGGCGCACGCCTATGGTTAGGAGGTGGAGCCATATCAACATCTCCTCATAGAGATGCATTGAAACAATGAATCTCTATGGGGAAAGGTCAGCGTGGAGCCAGTCGCGACGGCCCAAGTCTGCAACTAGGCATGTGCGGTAATTTCACAATGCTATCTAGTGTGGGCATATGATGTGTCCCCCAGGGCCTTCATCTGCCCAATCTAGCGATACCTAGGACGTAGATCTGGGCAAGAAACCTAAAGGTGTGAAATGGTGAATCTAAAGGCATTTGGGGGTGACTACGTGGACCTTGAAATGTAGTTGGGAGGAGGGTTAAAAAAACCAAACGGATGCGCCCATGACCATGCCGCTTTAACTATGCGCAAATTGTTTATTGAAAACCGAATTATAAAATGTAGTAAAATATGTCAAATAGAGTTGTATTCATTTGCAGTTATGTTGTCTTAAATACGTCAGCTTATTGAATAAACCATATAAACATACAGAATACATTGTTTTAAATATATGGAGTGAAAATCTAAATCACAAATCCACCCCTATTACCATGTCTTTGGCTTTTTACATTTTAAAATGCATGAAAATATTGATTTCATAGGGCCCTGGCATGTCATTGGACATTAAAGGGTTAAATAGGTTAGCTCCTTTTGAATGTGTAATAGGTTTCTGCTCTGATCCAGAGAACTGACATGATAAGATACCTAGCTAGTACGTTCCGTCCCTGCGTCTTGGCTTAATGTGGCTTATTAATCTACTGGCGCCAGTCACTTAGCGTTGGATACGACACATTTTAGCAGTTTATTGTTCATTTCTGCACTATCCGTTTTAACCGTGGCTAATTGAAAGTACTGCTTTTTAATTGAGAACAGAAGATGCAAGCGGATGCTGTTAAAGAAGATACTGTCTGATTTCACAGAACCTGTTATCTGCTTGTCTGATGTCGGGATAAACTCTTTGCACAGACTGTTCGCTTGTTAAGATTTCACGCAGTCCTCTGAATATCTTGTGTACTATATAGACGGAAGGGGAGATTTGTGGTGTCAGAAATCACTGAACGACGCTTTATTGCAAACAGTGACACCAATGGCAGAGGGATTTATTTAATCTAGCTTTCAGGAAACTGATTGGAAGCCTTTATAAGGTATCCTTAATCACATACTTAATGGTCAGTCTATTGGACAGCATTTGGTGCCGGTGATTGGCTGGTAGGGCCCAAGCCGTGCTTCCCTATTAGACAAGTAGCTTAAGAGGGGAGAGAGAAGTTTGCACGACACTCACCTGGGAGGACAAACCTTCAGTGTTAAACCGTTCTCGGGGACTCCAAGCACCACAACAACTTAATTGAGATGATGTCACTGGGCCAGAGTCTTTCTTTACTAAATCGGTTGAATAAAAAGGTACCCAAAACAGGGAACAAAATTTTAATATATCAGATTCCATACAACACCCTGACTGGTACTTTTACTGACTTCTTCAGAGAACGCAATTAAGTTCGTTTGACAGGGTCAGTCTTTCAGAAATCCTGGCTGATTACTGCTATTGACCTCACTGTTCAAAATTCATTCCATTAATAATCTTTACAATAACTTCATGGATGTTAAGCTCTTGGGTCTATAAATCCCATGTACATTTTAAATAGCAACACATCTGCATTTCTAGGATACTTGAAAGATTAAAAAAAATATATATATTTTTTTTCTTTCAATATCTGTTTTGCTTCTGTAAATTTGGGTCCATGAGGGTCTACTATAATACCAGTAGAGTTGTTCTAGCAGGTAAGATGTATTTAGGGTGGAGACCTTAAAAAAAAAAAAAATTATGTGGGGTCCCCCAAATACCAAGACTGACCAGGGCCCTTTCTGTACTGAATAATTTAATTGTGAGGGTTCTGATAATTTCCTACCCGTTCGCCAGACCAGGTAAGTAGATGGTAAGAAGAATCTGACATGCATCCTAGCTCTAATAAAAACATACCTTGCTCCTTTGCTCCATAAATGCCTATGGAATTCTCCATGCCC